TATAATGACACAGTTATCATAACCCATATATAATGACACAGGTCATCTCCGCTCACACAGGTATCATAACCCTGATATAATGACACAGGTCATCTCCGCTCACACAGGTATCATAACCCAGATATAATGACACAAGTCATCTCCGCTCACACAGGTATCATAACCCAGATATAATGACACAGGTCATCTCCGCTCACACAGGTATCATAACCCAGATATAATGACACAAGTCATCTCCGCTCACACAGGTATCATAACCCAGATATAATGACACAGGTCATCTCCGCTCACACAGGTATCATAACCCAGATATAATGACACAAGTCATCTCCGCTCACACAGGTATCATAACCCAGATATAATGACACAGGTCATCTCCGCTCACACAGGTATCATAACCCAGATATAATGACACAAGTCATCTCCGCTCACACAGGTATCATAACCCAGATATAATGACACAGGTCATCTCCGCTCACACAGGTATCATAACCCAGATATAATGACACAAGTCATCTCCGCTCACACAGGTATCATAACCCAGATATAATGACACAGGTCATCTCCGCTCACACAGGTATCATAACCCAGATATAATGACACAAGTCATCTCCGCTCACACAGGTATCATAACCCAGATATAATGACACAGGTCATCTCCGCTCACACAGGTATCATAACCCAGATATAATGACACAAGTCATCTCCGCTCACACAGGTATCATAACCCAGATATAATGACACAGGTCATCTCCGCTCACACAGGTATCATAACCCAGATATAATGACACAAGTCATCTCCGCTCACACAGGTATCATAACCCAGATATAATGACACAGGTCATCTCCGCTCACACAGGTATCATAACCCAGATATAATGACACAAGTCATCTCCGCTCACACAGGTATCATAACCCAGATATAATGACACAGGTCATCTCCGCTCACACAGGTATCATAACCCAGATATAATGACACAAGTCATCTCCGCTCACACAGGTATCATAACCCAGATATAATGACACAGGTCATCTCCGCTCACACAGGTATCATAACCCAGATATAATGACACAAGTCATCTCCGCTCACACAGGTATCATAACCCAGATATAATGACACAGGTCATCTCCGCTCACACAGGTATCATAACCCAGATATAATGACACAAGTCATCTCCGCTCACACAGGTATCATAACCCAGATATAATGACACAGGTCATCTCCGCTCACACAGGTATCATAACCCAGATATAATGACACAAGTCATCTCCGCTCACACAGGTATCATAACCCAGATATAATGACACAGGTCATCTCCGCTCACACAGGTATCATAACCCAGATATAATGACACAAGTCATCTCCGCTCACACAGGTATCATAACCCAGATATAATGACACAGGTCATCTCCGCTCACACAGGTATCATAACCCAGATATAATGACACAAGTCATCTCCGCTCACACAGGTATCATAACCCAGATATAATGACACAGGTCATCTCCGCTCACACAGGTATCATAACCCAGATATAATGACACAAGTCATCTCCGCTCACACAGGTATCATAACCCAGATATAATGACACAGGTCATCTCCGCTCACACAGGTATCATAACCCAGATATAATGACACAAGTCATCTCCGCTCACACAGGTATCATAACCCAGATATAATGACACAGGTCATCTCCGCTCACACAGGTATCATAACCCAGATATAATGACACAAGTCATCTCCGCTCACACAGGTATCATAACCCAGATATAATGACACAGGTCATCTCCGCTCACACAGGTATCATAACCCAGATATAATGACACAGGTCATCTCCGCTCACACAGGTATCATAACCCAGATATAATGACACAAGTCATCTCCGCTCACACAGGTATCATAACCCAGATATAATGACACAAGTCATCTCCGCTCACACAGGTATCATAACCCAGATATAATGACACAAGTCATCTCCGCTCACACAGGTATCATAACCCAGATATAATGACACAAGTCATCTCCGCTCACACAGGTATCATAACCCAGATATAATGACACAAGTCATCTCCGCTCACACAGGTATCATAACCCAGATATAATGACACAGGTCATCTCCGCTCACACAGGTATCATAACCCAGATATAATGACACAAGTCATCTCCGCTCACACAGGTATCATAACCCAGATATAATGACACAGGTCATCTCCGCTCACACAGTTATCATAACCCAGATATAATGACACAAGTCATCTCCGCTCACACAGATATCATAACCCTGATATAATGACACAAGTCATCTCCGCTCACACAGGTATCATAACCCAGATATAATGACACAGGTCATCTCCGCTCACACAGGTATCATAACCCAGATATAATGACACAAGTCATCTCCGCTCACACAGGTATCATAACCCAGATATAATGACACAAGTCATCTCCGCTCACACAGGTATCATAACCCAGATATAATGACACAAGTCATCTCCGCTCACACAGGTATCATAACCCAGATATAATGACACAAGTCATCTCCGCTCACACAGGTATCATAACCCAGATATAATGACACAGGTCATCTCCGCTCACACAGGTATCATAACCCAGATATAATGACACAAGTCATCTCCGCTCACACAGATATCATAACCCTGATATAATGACACAAGTCATCTCCGCTCACACAGGTATCATAACCCAGATATAATCACACAGGTATCATAACCCAGATATAATGACACAAGTCATCTCCGCTCACACAGGTATCATAACCCAGATATAATGACACATGTATTATAACCCAGATATAATGACACAGGTATCATAATCCAGATATAATGACACATGTCATCTCCGCTCACACAGGTATTATAACCCAGATATAATGAAACAGATTTGTTACAGGATTAACAACTAATCTCCGCTCACACGACACAGGTCACCCAGATATAATGACACAGGTCATCTCCGCTCACACAGGTATCATAACCCAGATATAATGACACAAGTCATCTCCGCTCACACATGTATCATAACCCATATATAATGACACATGTCATCTCCGCTCACACAGGTATTATAACCCAAATATAATGAAACAGATTTGTTACAGGATTAACAACTAATTTCCGCTCACACAGGTATCATAACCCAGATATAATGACACAGGAATTATAACCCAAATCTAATGAAACAGGTCTGTTACAGGATTAACAATTAATCCCCGCTCACACGGGTATCATAACCCAGATATGATGACACAGGTCTATTACAGGATTAACAACTAATCTCCGCTCACACGGGTATCATAACCCAGATATAATGATACAGTTCTGTTACAGGATTAACAACTAATCTCCACTCACACAGGTATCATAACCCTGATATAATGACACAGTTATCATAACCCAGATACAATGACACAGTTATCATAACCCAGATGTAATGACACAGGTCATCTCCGCTCACACATGTATCATAACCCAGATATAATGACACAGGTATCATAACCCTGATATAATGACACAGGTCATCTCCGCTCACACAGGTATCATAACCCAGATATAATGACACAGGTATCATAACCCTGATATAATGACACAGGTCATCTCCGATCACACATGTATCATAACCCAGATATAATGCCCCAGGTATCATAACCCTGATATAATGACACAGTTATCATAACCCAGATGTAATGACACAGGTCATCCCCGCTCACACATGTATCATACCCCAGATATAATGACACAGGTCATCTCCGCTAACACATGTATCATAACCCAGATATAATGCCCCAGGTATCATAACCCTGATATAATGACGCAGGTCATCTCCGCTCACACAGGTATCATAACCCAGATATAATGACACAGTTCTGTTACAGGATTAACAACTAATCTTCGTAAGGTTCTTCTTTAAATAAAGAAAAATAAGCTAATACAAATAAGATTTTCTTATGAATCCCCGTATCATTGCCAAAAACTAAAATTGTGCATTCGAAACATATTTTCTGACATGACTTTATCGTTAATAAACCATCGTGTTAAAAATAAAGGTTGCGGGACTTTATTGGGAATTTGGAGATGAACTGCACAAAACATAATCGTTCCTTCTTGTTTATCATATATGCGTTTGTGTCCTGGAGGCTTTATTTTGATAAAGTCCTATAACAGTTAAGGTCATTTAGAGACATGCCACCATGTGTGTTGTGTAAGCATGCATGCGCGTATGTGTGCTGGAGACAGGGTATGTTGGTCCAAGCAAGTGAGAGCAAGTGGACCAGTGATTGCCATTATCTTTAATGCCGAACGTTAAGCAGGGAATAAAAACTACCATTTTTAAGGACTGTTACGTTCCGTTATTGAAGGTAGAATCGATGAGATCAATTATTTATGATACTATACAGCAATCATTTGATAGCTTTGATCTCCAGGAGACACACCGCGTATCTGATGCATGGGGATCCATTTCGTAGCTTGGCGGTCAGATACGCCTATATGACCAGCATTCATCGGTAAAAAACCTTGTCATTAAATGCGACATAATCAGAGAAATCATTACTTACCATATTGTTACCTAGAACCGTGGATTTTCTCATGACAGAAACAATTGCTTGCGGTTATTTCTTTGATAAGTTCTAGATATCAAAAAGGACCATTTGCAAGGCAAATAAACTGTAGAATCAGTTCCTTCATTACTATCAAAAACCTGTACCAATCAAACACGGTTAATTTTACCGTTACGTCACAGCAGGATTAACTTCAATCTTTAATCCTAACATTCCTCTGATATCACCGGTACAGATGATTCCATCCGAGTTTCCAATCTAGTCAATATGTGTCATAGGAACAATGGCGTGTACATGGACGTTTCCACTGCCGTAAGGATGAGGGCACAGAGTACACATGTGATAACTAGAGCAACCATTTTACTTCAATGGTAGCTTGTTTATACGGCATGTGAGGAAAACGGGTCAAATGAATCATGGCGTAAATGAAGCGAAACTGGAGTGGGACGATCGCCATCGACTTGGTAGCGCAGCTGCCTGGAGCGTCCATCTACAGTCCCCGGTTCGTAAACCAGTTTGATCGTTGCATTTTCCTTTCCTGTTACATCTGGCGCCCAACATGGCGCCCGGAAAATATCGACAAAAACGCAGTCTTGTTCTACAGCTATGTCTGCTACCCCTTGGAATACTCGGGACAAGTTCTTTCTCAGAGGGTATTCTGTCATCCTAGTGAAATCCTACCTGTTTCCCTACCGACTTAACTTCTGCAGGAATTCGATGGAGAACAGAAAACCCCCTGCAGAATTGGTGATTCGCTATCGAAAAATAAGTCATCGGCACCAAATGCAACGTTTGAGATCTTTATATTTTTTCTTTCTTCTTCCTAACAATCTTGTGTTTCCTCGCGCATTGCTTGGCAATACCTTACCTTTGACCTTAGTATAAAGTTATAAAATTGTACGTTCGCCAAAGTGAGGAACGCAATGGATTCTGTCTGCAGGCCAGGAGATACCAAAGTCATTAAGGTCGTAGGAGTGTATTTATAAACGGAAATAGGAAGTACATCCCTAGTTGAAAATCCAACGTAGGGAGACAGTATCACAATTTCCGCATATTCTAATGTTCAATATTAAACTGATGAATATTGAATGTTTATTAGTGACAGAACAATGTGTTCTCTCAGTATTAAAGTATTTCATAGCAGTCAAGGCATTAATTCATTTTTTTTTTTTTTTTTTTTATCAATGAGTCACAAGTGTCCATTTTTGTGTACTTCACGAAATCGGCTACTCTTCCATGTGTTTATTTAATCGTCTATAAATAATTAATATTACACAATTTCAGCATTTTTTAAATTGATATACATTAATCCAATGCTAATCTATGCCAGTCACATTTTTATTGACATTATTTTGCAATAAATCGTGCCTTTCATTTTTTTCAAAATTCAATCCTTTTTACATAAAATTCCATTTAAAATCCTTAAAATTCTGACAACCTATATTTTTTGGGGGGCAGAAAATTTTCTTAACTTCAAAGCAATATAAAATTAAAAAAAATAAATACTGAGAAATGGTGACACAATCCTATTACCTTAAAAGGAATATAGGTAGGATGTCCTGGTAAATGCTCAGGAATTAGGGTAACCTCAACAGGAACTTTGTCGGTATACTATGACAGGTGGAACACTGAGTTGGTTGAACGGGATTTAACATCCTATTGATAGCTAAGATCATTTCAGGACGTGCCTCCGTGACTGTCGTGTATGCTTGCCTGTGTGTATATGCGTGCCGGAGAAGGGGAAGCTGTATTGAACGTGTTTGTCAGTGAAGTATAACTCTAAAGTTGGCATCAAACCCGCGAAATCGCAAAAAGAGGCAAATACACCGACATACCGCTTCCAGCCAACATAACATACATACGCGCATACTGTAAGCACGTGGAGATACGTCCATCAATGCCATTTGCTAGCGGCTGGGCGCTTAACCCAATAAAACTAAAACTATCAACTCGTCAAGCTAGAATTTCTCGTTACCATTTTTGATAGAAAGTCCAATAAACTATATGTTTCTGATTCGCTCTTTAGCTAAGTAATTGAGAAATTCATGATCTTATTTACATAGGGATCCTTCAATCAAGTAGTTCGTAATAACCTCAGTGCAGAGGGAAAGGGATCATTCAATCAAGTAGTTCGTAATAACCTCGGTGCAAAGGGGCAAGGATCCTTCAATCAAGTATTTCGTAATAACTTCGGTGCAGAGGGACAGGGATCCTTCAATCAAGTAGTTCGTAATAACCTCAGTGCAGAGGGACAGGGATCCTTCAATCAAGTAGTTCGTAATAACCTCGGTGCAGAGGGACAGGGATCCTTCAATCAGGTAGTTTGTAATAACCTCAGTGCAGAGGGACAGGGATCCTTCAATCAAGTAGTTCGTAATAACCTCAGTGCAGAGGGACAGGGATCCTTCAATCAAGTATTTCGTAATAACTTCGGTGCAGAGGGACTGGGATCCTTCAATCAAGTAGTTCGTAATAACCTCGGTGCAGAGGGACAGGGGTCCTTCAATCAGGTAGTTTGTAATAACCTCAGTGCAGAGGGACAGGGATCCTTCAATCAAGTAGTTCGTAATAACCTCAGTGCAGAGGTACAGGGATTCTTAAATCAAGTAGTTCGTAATAACCTCAGTGCCGAGGGACAGGGATCCTTCAATCACGTAGTTCGTAATAACCTCAGTGCAGAGGGACAGGGATTCTTCAATCAAGTAGTTCGTAATAACCTCAGTGCCGAGGGACAGGGATCCATCAATCAAGTAGTTCGTAATAACCTCAGTGCAGAGGTACAGGGATTCTTAAATCAAGTAGTTCGTAATAACCTCAGTGCAGAGGGACAGGGATTCTTCAATCAAGTAGTTCGTAATAACCTCTGTGCAGAGGGACAGGGGTCCTTCAATCAAGTAGTTCGTAATAACTTCGGTGCAGAGGGACTGGGATCCTTCAATCAAGTAGTTTGTAATAACCTCAGTGCAGAGGGACAGGGATCCTTCAATCAAGTAGTTCGTAATGACCTCAGTGCAGAGGGACAGGGATCCTTCAATCAAGTAGTTCGTAATAATGACGTACACTTTTTGCGAAATGTCGATAGCATTCTTATTTCGTAGTGTTTCAGCAAGACTTGCATGCAAAACCTCCTTGGAGACCGTGACTAAGAGATGCTAAGTAAGTCATGCCTGTCCAGGTAAGCAAACTGTGTTTGTGTAACACTCGTTAGTGACAACGGTCGATACTTGTCTGCCGCGTGGACATCACATTTCTTAAACACTGAATCAATATATGTATCAAGCATATCAAGGCGGTAGTGAACCGGTGTCTGGAAGCCGGTGATATAAGCCGCAAAGCTGAAGGATTTTGCTATTTTCATATTCACGAGAAACATTTTACCATCTCCTGTGGTCGATAGAGTAGAGGGGTACCAGCTGCTTTCTTGGAGTGTTACGTAGTTGTTTTTTCTCTTTTGAGAAAACTGTTTAACATTGATTCACACGGATTTGACTTTACTGTTGGAAACCAATCTTCTTCATTGTTGACACACACACATTGAGTGTTGACGTCGAGACTTTACATTCATCTATAAAGGTTTGTTACTGATTTTTCAATGCCCTTTTGTTTATAAAGTGCATTTCTGCACATATAAGATGAAGGGTTCGCCAGCAACAGCCGAGAAACAGTACCTTTTGGTTTAGAATTACTGCCACTGTCAAGGTATTCGTCTTTCATTTTAATGATGTGTATAACTAACTCCTCGATGACAATGTCTTTAAAAAAAGTGTAGGTTTAGCAGTGTGTGGGTCCTGAGTTCGACCCCTGTAACTTAGATATGTTTTTTTTCTTGTTGTTTATATATTTATAAGTACTAAAATTTTAAACTTAAACATCCATAAGTCCATTGCACATGTGTGATTTATATGAAATCACTCTGCATAAATGTATAAAGGGTCTGAGTAATTATTTTATTTATGATAACGACAGTGGATATTCCGTTTTTTCGTATCTGCTCTTGATAGCAGGTATTGATTGTTACGTCATTTTTTTGTGAGAGTAACGTCATCATTTTTTGAGAAAACGACGTAATTTTCTCACATAAACAAATGACGTAACAATCAATACCTGCTTACAAGAGCAGATAACTCTGCAATACGAAAAGACGGAATATTCAAATTGATGGCACTCTTTGCCATAAAGGATGAACGTAACACACTGACAGATGATTGCACCTTTATGCCCAAAGTCAATTACACTGTATCATACAGCTGTGTCGTCCTTCTAAGTTAGGGTTAGGTGTAAGGATTAAGGTTAAGGATTAGGGTTTAATCCCTGTGCACTGGCCTAAGTGTTTATATTGCTGCTTTAAGTTGGCTACGAACTAACAGGTCTTGAAAACTTTTGTTTTTACGGTAGGCTGTAACTAGTTTAGATTTGAATACTTCTGGTAACTTTGTTCTTAAGTCTACGTAATGTTTTCTTACCTTGTGGCTCGCTGTTTGGGCTGTCCTATTGTAGGTAATGACAAAGGGGAGAATTTGGTTCGAAATGGCTTTTTCATTAATACCGTTAGGTTTTAGGGTTTGAAGTTTATTCATCCAAAATTGTTCCCTATCGTCTAGTTGGTCCGAATTGGGAACTCTCTCAATTGGAATTATGGAAACATCTTTTAGAGTGTGGTTAATTTGGTTAAAATGGTTTGAAACTGGTTTGTCTTTGGCGTGTATTATGTCAAAGCGATGGCATGTGAATCTCTCTCTAAGAGTTAGTGTGGTTTGTCCTACATATTGCATCCTACAATTGGTACAAGTTATCAGATAAATGACATTTCTGGATCCGCAATTCAGGTTTTCCGAAATATAATGAGCACTAGAGTTATTAGAGCTGACAAAAGAAGTGGTTGTTTTGGTAAATGGACAAGTCGCACAGCGCTTACTGAGACAAGGTTTGGTCGTGTGTTTTATAGGCGGGTTGATTTCTGCCAAGGTCTCTCCTTTGATTTTACGAAGAAATCTGTAAGAATAATTTCTATTCCTAAGAGCTTTGAACAAGATGTGGACTGCTGTATTGAAATCCGATTCTTGCGTACAAATGCGATGAAAACGAAGTATTTGCGATTTTATGATTCCCTTGAATGAATGTTTGGGATGAAAAGATTTTTTGTGTAGCAGTTGGTGAGTGTCCGTAGGTTTGAAATACACTTTGATGTCGAGTTTGCCTGTAGTGTTAAACTCCGGACCTTTGAAAATTGTGGTGTCGAGGAAATCAATTGATTCTTCACTAATCGTGGCTTTGAGTTTAATACACGGATGGTGGTTATTTAAAATGTTGAAAAAATCATCAAATTTTTCTCTGGTGTGAGTCCAAATGATAAAGATATCGTCCAGAAATCTGACATAGATTAGCGGTTTGTTGTCGCATTTATTTAAGGCTTCTTTTTCGAATTGGGCCATAAAAATGTTGGCATAACTTGGGGCGAATTTTTTACCCATTGCTGTTCCTGAGACTTGAAGATACCACTGTCCGTTGAATTCAAAATCATTTTTAGTTAGTCCTGATTTGAGTAGTTCTAGAATTTCTAAATCTGGTCTGTCCGGGCATGGATTATCTAAGAATGTTTGCGCTACAGCTTTAAGACCATCTCGGTTATCGATGTTTGTGTACATGCTGTACATTGTGTATTTTGGTTTGGTTTAGTATTGTTTAATGTCCTATCAACAGCTATGATTATTTAAGGACGGCCTCCCCTGTGTGCAAGATGCCTGCGTGTAGTGCCCGCCTTATACGGGTGCGAGCTTTGGCAATTGACAAAAACCGAAATAATAATGTTAGAAAGAGCACAACATTTTATTGTTAAACGTATTCAAGGTTTTGAAAAAAGAACCAGAACAGACATGTGTACATCCTTACCTGGTTGGACCTCTATTGAGGCATATTTAGACATTAGAAAATTATTATTCTTGGGAAGATTGTGTAGAATGAACCCAATGTCTCTTGTTTATAAAGTTTTTATTACAAGACTCTTTTTGTTTCGACTAGGTAGACCGTACCAGAACGGATTCATCCCCGACATAGTCAAAATATTAAAAAAGTATTCGTTGCATCAAAATCTAGGTAATTTTGTTAAACTGGAATCTTTCGAAAGAAAAGAGATTGGAAAACCACAGTATATAATTCTGTAATGAAATATGAGGGACACAATCTAAAGGAACGTATGAAAGTTGATAATGATTTTACAAGGTTTCGAGAAATACATAACCAACTAAAACCTAATACTTTATGGGAGCTAGTGCTTCGATTTCCTCAATATAGAGAATATAAACTATATATAATGACAATAGTTGTAACCATCCGTAGCTTGACTACCATGGAATTATGTCATAAATGTGGGTTATTATATCAAGACCCAATGACACATTTAGTGCTACAGTGTACTTATACTTCCGAGTTGAAGGACCAACTATGGTGCTGTATAATTAATATCAAGGATATACTGTTTAGTGTCTATTTACACTCTCTCCCAGATCTTGAGATATTACACATAATGATTGGAGGAAATTTAACCTACAAACTTAGTGAGGAAGAGTTGAATGATTTCAGGATAAAATCCATCATTTATGTGTACAAGATGTGTAAACTATATTTTACTTAATGTATATAATAGTTATGATTAAAAGTTAAATACATACATATCTAATGTGGAATTTTCTATAAGTTATGTGCACTTAGCAAGGTAGGGATATCCCCCACCCTTATGTGATCCAGACCCACAAATGTATCTTCTGCGTTTATAGTTAGTATGTTACAATACATGTCTTTATTGCATGTATTAACAAATACAACGATACATTGATTTATATACATAGTCATGTATAAGTATCACGTACCACTTATCAATACAATTGATTATAATTTACTTGGCTTGAGCAAGTCAAATTGCAATCTGTATATTGAAACTTTTTAGGTTTACTCTAAACTATTTTATTATTTTACACCTTATATACACATCCTTATATATAAAGTGTATATTTATGTAATGCATATTATGTATTCGTGTATATATGTACCAAATACTTTGTATATATGTTCCACATTACTTTGTAATCTTCATCTTTGGAGGCAATAAAGAGAATAATAATAATACTGACGACGGGCAAACCAGTCGTCCCAGATAAATAATGCTAAACTCACACTGCAGCATACATCTGTTTCGCCCTTCGAGGACTCATCGCTGATGCTAGGAAAGGGAAAAGTAGGTAGAAAAGAAAAGAAATACAGTGAAATCATATATTTTTGTGGGACCCAAATTAACACCATTTCGTAGCTACATGAATTGGGGGATTACGAGTACCCACTCACACGGAAAACTACTTTATGTAAGACTTCGTGGATCTATGAATTCGTGTATGAAGATTACCCTCGAAATTAACGAAAGTACAAGCACAAAGAAAATGAGTGAATTCAAAGTAATGTATATTGACAGATACAGTGGGTTTTGCACTCGATTGTCAAGTTTTCTTTCAACGTGAATATAGACGAGTTCTTCCTGTGTGTTGTAGATGCTACATGACGTCATTAAATGTATTGTTCCCTATATCTCATCAATACCACGTGGTCCGCTCATTACCATGTTAGAATTGTATTGAATTGTTGACATACTTTTGAAATTCTCCTTCCATAAGTTGATACTCTGGGTACTGTAATATTAATAATTTCAAAGAAATTGAAATCTTTTCTTGTGTTGCGCCAAGTTGAGTTGATACGACATACTGTGCGGAAGTAATGATTGATCCGAGGTCATTATAAACCTATTAAAATTGTACATCCATTAATGTAATCAATATCCGTACTTCTATTGCCTCCATTATCAACTTGGTATTGTAGTATCCATATCAGGTAAACCAGGGCCCGTAGTCATGAAACCGTTCTCATGCTCAAGTACAGATTTGGTGATCAAGCCTTATTTCTTGTTTTTGTTATAACTTAATAAACAAATCTTATTTTGTCAATGTTTTGGAAACATTTTGAAGAGACTTTAACGCCAAAAACTGTTTTCATTGTTTACATTTTACTTTTGATCGTTTGACATGATCAAAGCGAGTTACAACAACGTTGGGTT